AGGAAAAGGTTCCAACCATCAGTAGAAATATCTTCATGTATGTAAATTAGGAATAGGTTTCAATCATAAGTAGAAATGTCTACATGTATGTAAATTAGAAATAGGTTTCAACCATAAGTAGAAATATCTACATGTATGTAAATTGGAAATAGGTTTCAACCATAAGTAGAAATATCTACATGTATGTAAATTAGGAAAAGGTTCCAACCATCAGTAGAAATATCTTCATGTATGTAAATTAGGAATAAGTTTCAACCATCAGTAGATTTATCTACATGTATGTAAATTAGGAATAGGTTCCAACCATCAGTAGAAATATCTACATGTATGTAAATTAGAAATAGGTTTCAACCATAAGTAGAAATATCTACATGTATGTAAATTAGAAATAGGTTTCAATCATAAGTAGAAATATCTACATGTATGTAAATTAGGAATAGGTTTCAATCATAAGTAGAAATATCTACATGTATGTAAATTAGAAATAGGTTTCAACCATAAGTAGAAATATCTACATGTATGTAAATTAGGAATAGGTTTCAACCATAAGTAGAAAATTCTACATGTATGTAAATTAGGAATAGGTTCCAACCATCAGTAGAAATATCTTCATGTATGTAAATTAGGAATAGGTTTCAATCATAAGTAGAAATATCTACATGTATGTAAATTAGGAATAGGTTTCAATCAACGGTGGAAATGTCATTTGTAGTGTATATTATGTAAATTAAATATATAAATCAACTATTGGTACAACGAATATACTTTGGATTCCAACTTCTGAAAATACTAGTGGGTTGACCAAAAAACCAAAACTTCAGAATTCAGACTCAAATAGAATTGTCATTTTCAATGATCAGCATCATTCTCACAGTATATCAAGGTTCATGCCAAAAATTATGTGAATAGTGAATGAAATACACACATGTAGTGTTTTTGTCTGTTCAAAGCTCACATGTTTTTTTTTCATTTTAAATTGTTATTAGCACATTCTGATGGTTTTTATTTTTAATTAAATTCTGGAGAAAATAACATTTTTGGTCAACCAAGTTATTGCAGCTTGTAAAATACTACTGTAACAATACTATACTATTTTTCTAACACTCTAGATAGTGCATCAGTTTTAGACATTTATTTAGTAAGATATGTAATCCTTCTACTAGACAGACCAACCGACTTTTGCTAAAGCAATTTCCAGACAAGAATTGACAACATCAGATGCTGTCAATCAAACACGATGTTTCATCTCATTAATATGACAAATACCTCTATGTCTATTTATATGTAATTGTGTTACAAATTATCAATATTTAAATCCATGTACACAAATAGTGTAAACATAATTTATCTTCTAACAATTCAGCTGCCTCTAAATATTAATATTTTGGTATGGTCCAATAAATTAATAGAAGGAAAACAGTACCAGTAGTATTAGTAAAATAAGTGTTAAATTTGTACTATGTTATCAACTAGCTAATGCCCTATTGCCAAGCAACATCATGTAAATCAGTTCCATGCACTGCATTCAAATAAGAATAGGCAAGGAGAACTATGTATATTCACGTCCATCCGGGCTTCCAATCAGTAGTGTTTGTTGAAGAAGTAAAGATAACAAATAGCATGAGAAAAACAATTTAACACAGATACATTGTAGCAGACAAACAGAGAATTTAGACAGATGACAATTAAATCCGCAGATTCTGTATCCATCCATCACATCTGGTTATGGATGATGAAAGCCAACATCTATTACTTCAAAGTGTATCCATACATTTGATCGATTAAGCTGTACGATATTTTAGTGAATAGCAGCAAACACCAATAGCAGCAACGAAGAATACAAATATGTGTATACATATAACATAAACATGACCGCGATTCTATAGTTTAACAATGGTATCTCCAAGAGTATAGACCAAGTCGTGATGTAAGATGCCAGGGTTCCCAACTTGTAAACAAATATAATAAATGTATGATGTGACCTGTGGAAACTAACACAATCTGTGATAATTAAAATATACCAGCCAATCACAAAATGTATCTATCATCAGCAAAGAAAATACATGGCATTTACTTTTGTCTAAGATATCACAAATTTGTTTAAGGTCAGACATAGAAAAAGATATCACCATTCAGACATGAAGCCATTTGAAAACAAATCACCATTCAACATTCTCAAAGACAATCTGTAGTTTTAGAATTTTGAAACAGAACAAGAATGAAATTCTGCCCACTTGATTTAAAGACTGCCCTCTTATGATGTTAACCTTGGTACGTGTTCTCCTTACCCATTCTAACTGCTAAGGAATCTCTTCTTTCTAGCTTTGGTTTAGCTTTAGGTGGTTCCCGTTTTAATTTGGGTTCCTCTTTCTTTTCCTCATTCTCTTCACCTTTTGGTTTGGCTTCTGCTGGTGGTGCAGATTCCTGTGCAGGAGTGACCTCTTTAGCTAACATGGGCTCTTCTTCTATTGGTTTCTTCTGTTTAGGTTCTTCTTTTGGTGGTGGTGCAGATTCCTGGGCAGGAGTGACCTCTTTAGCTAACATGGGCTCTTCTTCTATTGGTTTCTTCTGTTTAGGTTCTTCTTTTGGTGGTGGTGCAGATTCCTGGGCAGGAGTTTCCTTCTTACCAAGCTTGGGCTCTTCTTCTATTGGCTTCTTCTTCTTGGGTTCCGGTGGTGGTTCTGCCATGAACAAAAATATTTTTATTTGAACCACTCACTTAAAGTAGGAACAGGGGTGAAACTAGTTAAAAATTGATTATAAACTTCTAGAGAATGTCTGCAGCATAGATCAATTTTTAACCTGTTTTTTTCCTGTTGCTACCTTGATATGCATAGATTTGTCCTATAATCTTTTAAGTCTAAAAATGAATATTAAAACATGCTGTATACCAAATTTCAAATTGAAGCATATGTTTTTTCTGATATTAGCTTATCAAATTTCATAACAGTAACAGATACACATACCAAATAAACAGCACTGTAGCACATCATGCTGTCTGTATATCTTACCTATTACTTCAAGTTCAGCTTTAGATATAACTTCTCCTGCAGAATTGACAGCTTTACATGAATATGTACCACTGTCTTCAGGAAATACTTCCACAATATTCAATGTATAGACATCATTTACCTGTTTCATTATGAAATCAATTGATGATTTGAGGGGTTTACCAGCTCTGCCAAAATAGAATTAATAAATTATTTGTATTTCTTCCTTCTTAGAAAACAAAACAAAAGATAATTTACAAGCATAATTAAAACTTAATTTCATCAAACATGCTCATAATAAAAGAGTGACTATTATGTTTGATTTCAGGAAAGCTAATATTTATTGCATGATTTCGCAATCACAACTTATGTTTTTTGTAAAACAGGCCTGATATACTGCAAAATTATAGAAATTGTTATTTTAATTTAATTCTGGTTACTCTAACATCTTGTCCATCACATGCAAACTTTTATATCATGAACAAAATTTCTTTTTATCTTAAAATGTACGAATAAAAATAGATGTATAATTTTTCCAAAAAATGATATTTGATTATAATAATTTTGAAGATGCACAACCATGAGAATGCAATCACATTCTATCCACCATCTGGATGACTTCTCCTAATGTCAATACATGGGATAGCATCCTCAACCTGATTATTTAAAGTTCCAGTGGCTAATTCAATGGTCACTCTGTGAAAATTTGTGTTTTATTTGTAAACTTTTTGAAAAAGTTTTGATTATTTATTTTTAAATATTATTTAATCTTTGAGACTCAACATCAATTTGACTTTGGCTGGAAAATCATGTGCAACCACAAATATCAAAAAGCTTTTCAGATCTGTTTTACTTTATTCTGGTGACAAGATATGTTTTAAAATTTGAGTTCTTATATCTAAAGTCATGGCAATTTTTTCATATTTATATTGATACATGCAAGGCACAGTAAGTTAATGTTAGGTTTGTTTTTTCAGGTTATGAAGGTAATTAATAACTTTCTAATACCTCAACCATGTCACTGTTGGTTGTGGTGTTCCAGATATCCGGACACGGAAAAGAACTTCACCTCCATCTTTGACAGTCTGCAAAATAATAGAAACACAGTTCATTGTTTTGTTTTTACTTTTTTCTTTTAAGAGAAAGAGTTAAAAGATGCATTCTGTGATACTTTTAGGCTTATTCAAGTTTTAAAACAACTATATGTACAATATTGGATGGACTAAATTTCTTTGCTATACATGTAGTTGTGCATCTGTGTTAGTGCTGAAATCTTGGCTGCTGCAATTGCTATACATGATCAATAGTATGATCATCTCAGAGTGCAATTTTAAATGAATTCCATTGTGTCTATTATATTCTATTAAATTCTGTTGTCTAATACTAGATTACATTGTGTATATTATCACATTCCATTGTGTCTATTATATTATATTAAATTCTGTTGTCTAATACTAGATTACATTGTGTATATTATTAGCTTCCATTGTCTATTATTATATTCTATTAAATTTGGTTGTCTAGTACTAGATTACATTGTGTATATTATTAAATTATATTGTGTCTATTATTATATTCTATTAAATTCTGTTGTCTAATACTAGATTACATTGTGTATATTATCACATTCAATTGTGTCTATTATATTATATTAAATTCTGTTGTCTAATACTAGATTACATTGTGTATATTATTAAATTATATTGTGTTTATTATTAATTAGATTCTGTTCTATATCATTTCATTGTGTCTTTTTTTAGATTCTGTTATATCTATTGTTAAAATGCATTGTATATTATTAGATTACAATACATGTAAAATACTACCTACATTCTATTGTGTATATTATTAGCTTCCATTGTGTCTAATATTATATTATATTGCGTTTATTATTAATTAGATTCCGTTCTATATCATTTCATTGTGTCTGTTTTTAGATGTAAAATACTACCTACATTCCATTGTGTATATTATTACCGGGGGGGGGGGGGGGGGTTGCTTCCATTGTGTCTATTATTATATTATATTGTGTTTATTATTAATTAGATTCCGTTCTATATCATTTCATTGTGCCTGTTTTTAGATTCTGTTATATCTATTGTTAGACTTCATTGTACATTATTAGATTACAATACATGTAAAATACTACCTACATTCTATTGTGTATATTATTAGATTTCAATGTGTCCATTATGTTGGAGAAAACAAGTCTAAATCTCACCAAATTTTTCAATTTTTCCAGAAAAGTTGGTTTTTCTGTTTTTTCAGTTCCCTCTACCGCTGTAGATGACACAGAGATGGATTCTTCGGTCTCTTTTTTAACTTGTTTTGTACCATCAGGCCCTATTTGAATAGTTGTCACTGATTGTTTCCTGTGTGTTTTCACTTCACCATTTTTAGAAGGTTCAATTAAACTTGATGATAAGTCAATTTTCATATCACCATCTTTAGTAATCGTCAAATCAGCCATATCCCCAAAGTCAATCTGAATCGGCAAAGCTTCTTCTGGTTTCTCTCTTTGTTGTATCTCAGCTTGTTGAACTGCAAGAAATACATTAACTACCGGATAAATCTTTTTCAAACTTAAGAATATTATAAAAATGGAAGTAATGTTCATAGAATGGTTTGCAGTATCAGTACTTGACATGTATTCCCAACATTTCACCTATGCAATGTCTGACATTGGTAAATGCTAGTATGGTGAAGGGCGATGTATTAGAAACAACATTAATTTTTCTGTTTTATTGACAAACACCGAATAAACTATATTATGTACAAACCACAGTGTTTGCTGCATTAACAGTATATTCATTTAAAGCATATTCAGAAAATAATAATAGCCTGCTCTGATTGGACATTCTAAACCATTTTTTTTAAGTCACAAAAATGTCTCATTGTCTTTCAACAGAGGCATATATTACCATCTAAATTTTAATAAATACACAAATTATTGCAAAAGACTAGGAAAGTTAGCATTGAAGATGGCAAAGATAAAAATTACAACAACCTGTCTACATAAATTTTCCTGATATTATTTATTTAAGAAAGATAATTATTTTACAATATCTACAGAAATGTTGTATAAGACTGCCATGTCTGCAGTTTCACTCTTTAATAGAAAGCTATCAACTTACCATCTACATTGACTGTTATCGTAGAATTGGCTTCTCCTTTTTCATTCTTGGCCTGAATAGTATAAATTCCTCCATCAGGGGGTGTGAAATCAGAGACCACTAGTTGCAGAATGAACACCTTACCCTGGGGAAGGAGACTGAGTCTAAATCTTCCACTGTCTCTTAGCACTGATCCATTATGTTTCCAAACAACTGTTGGTTTCGGCTCAGCTAACATCCTTTGTTCAATTATCAGGATTTTTCCACCATCCTCTTGTCGGATGCTGGGTCTCTCCGGAAATGAGGGCGCGCCTTGCACATCTTCTTTTTTAACTACAGAACAGAAACAAACATTGTGAACAGAACATCAGCACCACCATTATGTGTGGGCAAGTAAAATAAAAATTGTGCAGCCTGTGCAATTGATGTGGAAGGAATTAGAATAATGAAATGGGCATATGATCAAGTGATTAAACTTGCCACCAGGGGGACAACATGATATTGTATGATATACGAATTGAGGTATATATTGCTTCCATGCAATTTCCAGTTTTCAACATGTGGCAATGTTAGAATGTTTAAAACATTCGTGTTATATTTTTGTTTTATTTAATGCCAATTAATCAGCTTTACAGATTGCCCTTGATTTTACTGTAAGTAGTAGTCACGCACTAATTGTATTATATCGCAAACATAACAAGATGTGTGATAATTATGGAACAATGTATTGCAGGGAGCAGGGGCGCAGTTTCATCGATATCTGCTGCAGAATTACTGAGAAAATGTTAGAGACGTCACAGACGGAAACTTCAAATAAGAATTAATAGTCCGCCTAAAACGGAGACTAAAAAAGGGTAACAGTAGGTGTTGTGTTAAAAAGTGTGTTGAAAAATATTTATCAACTTACTGTTAAAATTCAGATTAATGGTTGAGCTATTTTCACCCAAATCATTGACAGCTACTGCTTTATAGGTAGCTTGATCATCGGGAGTAACATCAGTAATCTCTAATGACACATAATACTGATCTGCCGATTCTTTCTTGGTAATGATATGATACCGACCGCCATCTTTGATAACTTTCGAATCACAGTACCACGTGATTTGGGGTTGTGGATCGGCAGTTAAAGTAGTTTCAAAAACTAACTGATGGCCATCTTTTGACTGTCTCATCAATGGTTTGCTAGCAAACTGAGGGGCTTTACCTTTTTTCCTGAAATGCAGAAAAAAAATAATAAGTTTTCATTCACACATTTTGTAAATAATTTTCTGTATTAGAGTCATTCTACAAACTTTGTCTGGATTAAGATAGGATTCGGATTTCTGTTCAAACAAAGACTACCAATAATATTATACAAGAACTATGAGGTCATCAGTAATTATCTGAAAAGATAATCAATCTTCTTGTTTCTCAGTTTATATTACATATACTGTATTGATCTCTCTTAACCGAATAAATAAATTAATCTCAAGGTTCTTTATAGAATAATCTAACATGAAAGTTCCCAAATAGTATAGCAATCTATTTTATCAGAATTTTGATGGAAAATTACAAGCCAGGATTTTGGAGGTAAAAATGATTTTTACTGTGTAATGAAAACAACATATCCAGTTACTGTACTATGGTTAGTAACTTGCCTGGAATCCAGCCATTCAAAATGCCCTTCCCAGTGCACTCAGGAATGGCCTGGTGAATCGCTCTGTCAATATGTAGACAACACAGAATTGTGTGTCATCACTAATTGGCTGTCTCCATGAGTTCAGTACAATATCATGGGAATACGCATGCACAGAGTGACCCATACTTAAGGTCCTCTTTAGATCTATACCCAAGTTCACGAATGATCCTATCAACTATATGTAATTACACTGTTGATTTGAAAAATTACCTGGCAGTATTAACAACATCAGATGATGACAGACATAGTAAGCCTTATACCTCACCACTTCATTATCATTATGGGCATTACATGACGTCATAATGATTTATTCTTTTCTTGTTTACAAAGTAGCAAGGGTAACAAGGGAATGTGGGGGGGGGAGGGGGCTAGTAGATACATAGTTGTGTAGGGAGGTACCCCTGAGTGCTCAAAAGTGTGACCATTTTTATACCTGGATAGTGGCAAAATCTATACCCTTGTTTATACCAAAGTACCATTCTGTTATCACTGTTTATTCCAAATAAAACAGTTACCGTATTTGCTCTATTAGAAGAGCATCTCCAATAGAAGCACATGTAAGCCAACAGTTGCATTGTATATTGATTTATTAAAATATGTATTTTGACCATAGAAACACCTCTGTCACTTACATAGGTATACCAAATCGGAAAAATATTACCGATATTTATACCTATCTTGACCAGAAATAAGACCGATACTTGTACCTAATTATCCCGATTAGGCAAGTTCTATGTATCCCCCCCCCCCCGGGAAGGGAATGTAAAAGTCCTGTTCTTGGGAGCCAGAGGCAATGGAACATATAGTTTTGGACCAAAAAACAACATCTGAAAAGTTTGTAAATGTATACTTACTGTGGCTTTTCGGGTTCAGCTGAGTAATAAAATAATTGGAAAAAGAAACAACAGAAAACAACGTCAGAAATATAGTTACGTAGCACATAACCCACCCACCCCTCCTGCAACGGTGGATTGAGTATCCGTGTGAGAGAAACATAAACAATTGTTAAGAAATGTCTATTCCGTCACATTTAGTAGCGAATTCCAAAACACAGCACAATGTTATTTATCAACAACAAACGAGTTAACACTGCACCGTACAGCAACCAAGTTGTCATACATAAAGCGTCAAACGCTCAATATTTGTTAAAAAATCACAAAACTACATTATCGTCCCACCTCAGACAGACGCATTCTTTTCTCTCGGTGGTGCCGGTTCTTCATTTTCGCGCAATTACTGAAAACACGACTGAGACCGATAAATAAATACTACCGTCGTCGTTGGACTCCACCATCTTGTTTGCTGGTAAAGCGCCCTCATGTGACGAGGTCTCTTTCAAATTGATTCGGAAATATTCCGAAAAAAAGTCGGCCAGTTCAATGCCAGATTTCGATATTAATAATTTTTCATCTATTGTCAGACCACTAATTTAGCGATTGTATTTTGGAGAAAATAAAAAAAAGTGAATAAAAAATGCGAAAGTGAGGTGATCGCAATCATTCTACAATTTCAGTTTTCCCAATTGTTTAAACGTATTTTTTTTTACTTTCGGAAAAAACAACTGTAAAATGTACTATTACAATATGGATGAAGACGAAATGATGAACATATAGAATATGTATATGATGCGGTGAAAATATGATACTATTGCATTTAAAGTTTTATGAAATATAGAAAGAATGAAAGAAAAGGTGCAATGATGGTTGGGATTTACAGAAGAGGGTATTTACGTTTGCGAACGAGGCTATAAGGAATTATGGGTACAAGTGCTCTTTATAATAGGAGAAGAAGATATACTGTAGGTGTGCGATGGAGTTGGGTTGACGTGGAATGTTTCGATATATTTATCAAAACAAAACTTACAATCAAAATTAAGATTAATTGTCCTTTCTGATTGTCCTTTTTTATTTTTTGCCACAACTTTATATTCCCCGGCGTCGTCCGGTGTTATATTTTCTACTTCCAACGCGGCAAAATAAAACTCGTCATCTGCCTCGACGTCTATCAAATATCGTCCGCCATCTTTGATTTCTTTGGCTCCTTTGTACCACTTAATGTCGGGTTCCAGTTCTGATTTTATCTCGCACTCAAACGTCAGAATTCTTCCGTCTTTCGACTGCTTCATTTGTGGCTCCGACGTAAAAGTGGGCGCACCGTCGGCTCCTCCGGTTGAATTTAAAGAGGGATCATGACCATTTTTGTTAGGACCTGGCACCCACGATACAAAGCAATGGAAACGAGTTACTACGCGGTCTCCCATTAACCACGGGAACGAATCACATGTTAAAATATGACGGATGTGCTGTGCCAACCTTGGTGGGGAAATCAGACCCCCTCCCTCCCATATTCCATGATCATTTCAGATGTAGTTTTCGAAATTGATTTACGCCGCAATAATATTGTACTTTTTAAGTTTCATCGATACTTAAAGTGGTCCCCTCACAGCTTTTGATAGATAGAATTATATAAAGATGGATGGGTTGCCTTCATGGGAGAAACATCTTTCTACTGTTCATGGAACCTGATAAAACTAGAACATACAATGGACCTATATCGGTTTGCGCATTAAAATTGACGAGCATGCAGGATCGTAGTTCTAATTAGAAGAAAAAAGAGAAATTAAAAATAGAGATTGTAGTCCATTAATATACATATTGTTAAATTTGTCATGAGGTTTTTTTTTAGTGTGAATTGGTTGGCACAACGTGATCGCGAGTTAACACGTGACCCGATCCGTTGGTAAAACAGGTCGCGGGGTGGCGCGGTCCGTTGATTTGCGCGTGGATGCCAAGGCACACACAGTTATAAAACAGCATGATTATCACACTGGTAGCTTGCGGCCTCCAAGACTTCACATGCATATTGAAAATAAAATGGTAAGCCACACACCATGCATTTAACTTCTCGCTGTCTTTAGTGAAAAAAAAGCAAAATAAATCGTTATTGGGAGCTCCAAGACAATTTAAAATTGACGATCTGGATAGCGCTCTCTAAACTAATTGAATCGAGATGAAATTAAGAATTGCCACAGTTTGCTTATATCTGAGGTCACCGGTGTCGGTGTGTTTTAGTTGTTCTCGGTGCCACCTATGTCATCAAAATTGTTCAATTGTCTTGGATTGCGATACAACAGGTAATTTTGCAATTACATATAACACGTTTAACATAATAACTATTCTATTCTATTCTATTCTATTCTATTCTATTCTATTCTATTCTATTCTATTCTATTCTATTCTGATGCAACGTATTCTAGTCCAGCCCAGTAAGTCCAAATACAGTTTATTCTTAACTCCAGTCCTAGCACTATGCTGGCAGTGGGTTTCATCTAAAATATATGGATTGTCATGCTCAATGTGTCTAATCGACTAGCTTTTTCTATATATAACATTACTCATTATACATTTGTGCTTTTAATTCTATTTATTTGACCCAGAGCTGAACTCACCGAGTGCAAAGTGGACACTGAACCGAAGTATTTGTCGTGTACTTTCAGAGTTCCAAATTAATACATGAATATTTTGTGAACATTGTAAAACAATTGTTGGTGTGGTAGACGTTAGCGTGAGTCGGTTTTCAGGTGCCCCTGTATTGCAAACGGCTGTACTAAAACATGCAACTTACTTGCAAAATTTAATTTTATCTTGGACGTTGACTCTCCGAGTGCGTTCTTCGCAAACACCACGTAATCGCCACCATCCGCATCGGACACGTCTGTTATTTCTAAACTTAAGAAATAGAACTCCTCATCCGCATCAGTGAGTATTTTAAACTTTCCGCCATCGAACAGTTCTTTACCGTTGCATGTCCATGTTATCTGCGGACGAGGATCAGCCTCGAGTTCGCATTGGATAGTGAGTTTCTTTCCGTCGTCTGACTGTTTCATTAGTGGCTTCATTGTAAACCGTGGGGCTGAGCCTTCCACCTGGTCGCCGCTATAGAGATTGCAATAAACACACACAGTAAAGTAAAGGATTTCGAAATAATTGTTTTGAACCAAAACCGCTCCACAAAATAAATAACTGACCTTTTTGGTCAATTCAATAAGTTGTCGCTTCAAAAAAACACTAAAGTCCCAAAACCGAGCCTGTATGGCGCCAACATACGTTGAGAATGGGGGAGGCGGGTGTAACGTAAGTGTAAAGCCCAGCATTAAAAACTTACCCAGTATCCGCTGGATCCTGACCTATTAAACAGAGATAAGAATGACATAAAATTATATTCAGAAAACAATGTTTAAATATGTGGTGATCGGCATGTGCCACGTCATTTGAGTGCCCCAGACAGTTATACTAAAAAAAACGTCCAAGACAAATTTTAAACATAGTTATATGCATGCCCTGTATAAGTAAGGGTTGGAAGAAC